GGTTCACCATTAACTGGAAAGATGGAGCAGCTCAGTCTTTGCAGATTCCTTGCAGAAGAAAAGAGTGGCAACACCACAGCAGGGAAGTTGCAACTGCTAATATTGTTTGGCAGCACTTCACAAGATCAAATCAGCACTTGGTTCTCCAGCACAGCACTTCCAAGAAATCCCACTGGTAATAAAAGTTTCTAGGTAGACAAAAATATCTGAGGTCCAGGCTATAGAGCAGCCAGGGCAGAATACAGTCTTGAAAGAGAAGCAGATCTGGGAATACCGCTAGGGAATGTCCCGTACTGGCCATCAGAGGGCACCTAAATCAGGCAAGGAGCAAGCACCCAGCTTAGCTTCACCCTCAGCCATTTTTTGTGTCTCAGAGGAAACAAATCCCCCTTAAGTCCAGCCCATCAGTGGCAGAGGCATGTTTTCTGTACAGAAGAAGAACAAAGTCATGGAAACCTGGCAGATGTGCTCTGCTACGGCAGTCTTACCCTGGGGCAGAGGCAGGAGACTGCCTTGCAAATTGGTTCAAGCAGGTAGAAAATGGGCTTTCCTGAGTGGCTGATGCAAAGCAAAGGGTTGTAGTTGTTAATTTCCCTGAGGGCTGCTAGGTGTGGAAGCTGAAAGCTACTAACCAGGACTCCCTAGATGGGGAACTATAAGGACCAACATTTAACTGGAATTTAATACTGTTAAGTCACTTTTATCTCTTGCAGGGGACCCATATTGCTAATTTAATGCCAAGTTCCTTTCACACTCTGTTTTATTTGGGACCGTATTTCTCAGAGTAAGAGAGCAATGGCCACACCAGTGTACTGTCCTTAGTCTTCCAAGTCAAGATCAATGACTGTAAGTACCCACCAGGGCTGGGTGTAACCCCGAGTGGCTCGGAGAGAGGGGGACCAGTGCTGCCTGCTGATAACACACCACTGTGCTTACCCCACTGCAGCAATTTGCTGGGGTTTTCATGCACATCCCCAGGAGTTTGTGCAGTCCCTGGCTGCTTTCTTCACTGCACAGGAAACACTGGCAAGGGCCTCAGTGCTCTTGATGAAAGATTAGACTTGCCCTCCTGGAACGTGGTTTTGTTTCTTGAAATAACTTCAAAAAGAGAGAGTTTAAGAGCTCCAGGAGCAATTTTTTGAAGTGGTGACTGAGGTTCTCTTAAGCCTAATTTACTCACACCCCCAAAACAGAAATATGAGTTTGGCAATATCAGCCCAGGATATGGTTCCTTGCAGCACTAGGAGCACAGACTCTGCAGTGCAGGTGAAAGACACAAGGGGTATTACCATCTCCAAAATGTATCCTCCTCCTCCTCTGAGCCCAAAGGCTTCAATGGACCTGTCCATGAGTGTGGCACTGCTTTAGCCTTCTGCATCTCTGAGCTTCTGCTGCAGGGATAGTCCTGAGTCCAGAGCTTCCAGGAGGTGACCTGCCTCCTCCCAGTTGCCCATGGGGCTGCCAGCTCCTGTGGGTGGGTATCCAGTAGATGGCATCCGTGTCACTTCTGCTGGAGCTTCACCTTCCTGAGGGCTTCTCTTCCACTTCGTTTATCTGAGGGTCTGTTTCTTCATTAATGTCTACTTTTCCTTTGCATGTTTAATGTCCTCTCAGCAACTGATTTTAATATTTCTAAATATTCACTGATTTAGTGCTCTTTTCACTATTCTTATTCCTTTCCAAGAATAAAGATCACTCATCATTCCTCAGCATTCAGTGGCATAGTGTGTGACCTTTTATAGAAGGAGAGTCAGAAAATAAAATTATGAACAAAATTATGGAAAACATACTTGAGATCTGTCCATCCCAACAGTGGAAATATGTGGGGTATAGGCTGGGTGTCTGAGAAATCAGGGCACACCACATCTCCATAATCCTTATATTGGGAAAACAGGTTTGTATATATATATATCTATATCTGTTTTGTGGGAGGAAAGAGGAGTGCTGAGTAAGTTCAGGTAGCATTTCCTGGCAGCCTCACTTTCCAGCCCAGCCCTCTGGAAGCGGAGGCAATGGATTTGGGTGTTACAATCATTCCCCAACAATGGAGCGTTGCAAAATATGTAGTACCACATATTAAAAAGGAATTAGGAGTGGGGAGAACCACAATAAGTAGGAGACAGGACCAGCCTTTGAGCAAAACCTCAGGCACTGTTGCAGAAACAAGTTTTCTGGAGCGGGATTGCAGCCACGTTAGAGGCATTGTTTACCTGACAAACCAACCTATAGATACAGTCCCTGGCTTCTACAGGCCTGTGCAGATCCTGCTGTGCCCTGGACTCCAACAGCAACCTTCAGCCCTCACAACTGACTATAGATGGAACTCCTGCCTGCCAGTGAAAATGCAGGAGGTGAGAAGTTGTGTCCCCGACCCCTGCAGGCACTGAGGATAAGCAGGTGGAACCCAAATGGCTGTGAAGTTTGGAGTTGGGGGTTAAGACATCCAGTGGAAAAGAAACTTCTGCCCAATCTCTATCACATTCTAAATCTTCTCTTCTCAGGTTTCTAAGGTTTGGATTACACCCTGGAACAGACCAGTGTTTGATAATTAATTCCCTTTGGTGCTGTTCAGAGTCATATTTAACAACAGTCTTACTCGGGGTTTGTTGATCCAGTGTTGCCATACAGACAACAGGAAATGGTGTGGAGGATTGCTCTGGCTCTAGCCCACGGTCTGTCCAGTCCAGCCTTGACAGTGCCCAATCCAAACACCTCAAATGAGAGGGCAGGAGAGAGTTATGGGTTATCTGCCTCACTGTAAAGGTTCATCCCAGTCCGAGTCATTAGTGGCTGCTTCACATTCTGGAACATGAATGAGGTTTACATCCCTCCTGAGCGTAATGGAAAGGTGGATAACGCAACCCACAAAACTCTAGACCTTGTTCATTAGACACCCACAAGATAATTATGCTGTGTATAAAAAGAAAAGTGTAAAGTCATTGCGAAAGTAATTCTTACCAGTTTTAAAATGCTGCCTCTCCGTGCCTCTGGCCAAGTTAACACCTTGCTTTTCTAGTCTCTCTCCCTTCAGCAGATCTCAAAGCCTGTTGCAAAATCTGATGCTGCCATTGCCTTCATTTAGAAAACCTAAACCAGATGAACCTGAGCTCACCTTGCTGCCTGTCACACACACCTGCTGCAAACCTGGGATGGAATTTTTCCCAGATCCCACTTGATGCTGAGCTTTGCATCACGACACACCCACCACAGAACAGCTGTTGTCAGAGAGTCTTTTCCCTTACTCTCATTTCTAGACTGAAAAAAAACCCCAAAACTCCATCTTTTGTTGGCCACATCCTCACTCTAAACACCTAAAGTATTGGTGTAACGCAGCACCCAGAGGCAGCGCAGAGCTCCCCACACTCCCCTGCCTTTGGCTCTCATCTTGGCCAGGAGCACACGAGCTGTCCCCCAGCCTGCTCCTTGGCTTCTGTCTCCCTTTCAACTCAGCTTAACACAAACCACAAAGATCACTTTGCTCTCAGAAAAAGCATTTTGACTGAAGTTTGTACTGGACTGTAAGCCAGCGTTAAATCAAATGCCACAAGGACCAGACATACAACTTCCTAAAAACAGTGGAAGCTAAACTGATTTCTTAAAATTTCTTAAATTGAGTTTGAAGGTAAAAAGTGAGTTAAAGACCAGACACTGATTTCTAAACCAGCAGTGTTCTAGAGAGCAGGCTGAGCACTGTCTCTTTAAGGGACTTTCCTATACATGTGTTTTTTAAATGGAAAATTATTCCCTGTTAGTTTTAAGGGTAAGCCAAACACAGAAAACCCAAGTTTTAGTTTTTTCCATCCTCACTTTTTCCAACCTAAATGATACTATGATTCTATGAAAAGGTCACATTAAGAAACACTCAAAGGTGACCCATATTTGCATCAACCCCAGCCAGCCTTCACTGGCCACCTCTGCGCTGCTGAGCCAGGCCACTGCGTCTGCTGGCAAAGAGGAGACAGAGGAGGTGTGCCAGGCTCCTCCTGCTCATCAGCTGCACTTCATGGCTCTGCTGTGCCAGTTCCTGGTGCCTGACGTGCCCTGTGCCTGCAGGGACACTGAGGGAGGGTGGTGAGAACACAGTCTGGAGGCTGCGAGGACCCCGGCGTTTGAATCTCCCCACCACACCCTGCTGCAGTGTAAGTGCAGGTGACTCAGGCACTGTCTGGGGACCCTTGCTCTGTGGTGGGGGTGCCCAGGGCTGAGCCAGCCTCCACTGGGGGTGCCCAGGGCTGAGCCAGCCTCCACTGAGCAGGACAGTGTCTCTGCTCTCTCCTCTGCCAACATGCCATTCAAAGTCTGAATCAGTGCATGTGCTCATTTTCCAGTCAAAGGAGGACACAGAGACAGAGCGTTGGGCAGAAGGTGGAAAATCAGAGTCTACACTTCCTCTGGGATAATCTAGGATAAACTTCCTATGGCATGGAACACTGTTGTGAACACCCAGAAAGCTGAGAGGGAAAAGTATTATTTTTGGCTGAAGGTCTTTATAGCTGATGCAGGAACTCTCTCGTTAGTTACTCATTGCCCCAACAAGTCTCATAAAAAAGCCAGCAGAGCCCAGCAAATACTTTTCTTCAGTGTTCTGGGAGCTCAGAAATCCAGGAACTGAACAAGGCCTTGAACCCATTTTATGGACTCGCTTCTTACTAAGCTACCATAAAATATTAAAATTCAGACCTTATAAATAAGGAGGGGGAAGAGCTGCACATTTCTTAGCAGAAGCAGCCTCTCCAGAGACTCTTCCCAAGGTATGTCTGGTGCTACACAACCCAGACACGGGTTCCCCTTGATAGACAGGTGATTGGAGACAATGAACTCATGCAACAGAGATTAGAGACCTAAAACCCCCTTGATTCTGCTCTGAACTGGAAAAAAAACCTGCAGCAAATCAGCTGGGTTTGTTCCCTGGTGGCCCTGGCCCTGCCTGCGAGGCGAGCCCCGAGCAGAGGCAGCAGTGCTGTGAGTCCCTCCCCCGCAGGCGCCGGCCGGTCCCCGGGATGGTGCAGAGCAGCAGCCCCCCCGCCCCCCGCCCAGCGCCACTCCTCGCCCTCTGCCTCTTGGCACACGCAGCCACAGGTAAGCAACCCAAAAAATCCCTCCTGGCTTTGTCTGTGTGAACCTGCCCAGGGCTGGGCAGTGCCCGGGGTGGTGTGCCACACCAGCACCCAGCCGGCAGGTGTTCGGGAGGTCATACCCACAGAGCTGGCTGAAAACTGGTGTCTCTTTTTGAGTGGCAGAGGAGGGATGGAGAAGCTCCAGTGTTATCCAGCATTACTGCAGTGGGGTGATGAGGCCACTGTTCTCAAACCTGCTCTGGGCAGTGAAAAGTGTGAGCTTTGGCCACCTGAGAACACCAGGGAAGAGCCAGGAAGCCTCTGACTGTTTTATATTCCCAGGACTATAGTGCCTTTATATCCTGAGCTATATTTTTTGTTCATTAATCTGTGACATAGGCTACAGGGGGCAAGTTTCAGCCTGTTAAAGAAAATTATTTCCTCTACTGGGTCTTGGTTTAATACATCCTGAGGTTTGTACATTAGACAAACTGCAAGTGTCCAGCAGCCAGGCTCAGACTGGCCGGGATGTGGCCGAGGAGCTGATTAACTAATTTACATTCTCAGGCACACTCTGCTCAACCCAGCACCCGGGTACCAAACCGTGGGCACAAGGGTGATCTGCAGCAAGAGGATCAGCAAGCCTGGCAGAGTGGGGATGAGCTTCTGCTGGGTCACTGCTGGTTTTCAGACTTAGTTACAGGTCAGGCTTTGGCATTCTTGCAGTCTGTTGCAAAACCTGACTTTTATTTTAAATAACTGTGAAGGGAGCTTTGTGCTGAGGACAACTTCTTCTCTTAAAAACTGAAGTCCCACCAGAAAACAGATGTGAGACTGAAGCCTGAAACTCGCAGTCCCTCCTCCAAGGTCAAAGGCCTGAAGAGGGGCAGCTTTTGTGGGAAGGGTGCAGCTTAGGATGCTTAGTGCCCTTGTTCTCCTTCTTTTGCAGGTTTGGAACTGTCTGTAAACAACCACACTGCTGACTTCTCCCTCTCTACATCAACTGAATCTGCCATCTCCCTCTCCTGCCTAGTACAGAACAGCAGCCAGGCTGAGGAGCTGCTCTGGTACCGAGGAGGTGGGAAAGTGGATCTGAAAGATGGCAACAAAGTGAACATCAGTAACATCTGCATATCCCCAGTCACCAGGTCTGACAACGGAGTCACCTTCACGTGCAGGCTGGCACGGGACAAGTCTGTGCAGGTGTCTGTGCTCCTGGATGTCCAGTGTGAGTTGCAGTAGTGGATATCTGTGCAGAAGGGCTGGGCTGGGCTGAAATCATGGGCTGAGCCCCTTGGTGTCTGGGTGCTAGCTGAAGGTGGGGTGTTTTGCACCCTTGTACGTTGTCTTCACCAAGAAAAAATGTGTTTAAGAGGAGGAAATTCACGTGATGAAGACACTCCCTTTCCACAGTGGTGCTTATGGCCTGATCTAAACCTCTTTTACAAGGAGTGGGTGGGTGCCTAAGTAAGAAGATATTCTGGATATGTCCCTGCCTCCACCTAGATTCCATCCCAGGGATGCAAGTCAGGGTAGAGGAGCCACAGGAGTGACTGGGTCTGCCAGTGATTCTCCTGCTAATCCCTGGGGATCATGAAAGGCTGCACAGTTGTGACATGTCACACCACTGAAAAAGGCACCCAGGGGATGTGTACAGGGAACTTATTTCGTGTTAAGCAGTGAGCAGCACCACTAATGGCCCATTGAACTGCATTACTGTGAACAGTTCCTCCCCAGCTGACTGGAGAAGAGTCCCTCCAAGTTGAAGAAGACAAAGATGTCACCCTGAGCTGTGATTCCAGATCCAACCCTCAAGCCCAGACAGCTTGGCATAAGAAGAACAGCACCTTGGCCCTACAGCACAATCGTTACCAGCTCTACCAGACCAGCGAGGTCTTCCAGCTCTTCATCCAAAAAGTACAGAAGTCAGACAACGGGACCTACACCTGTGTGGTGAAATATTCTCAGGGAGAGTGGAGAAAGGATTTCCACCTGATAGTTGAAGGTAACTAAGGCTGCTGATGAACAATAAGCTTTACAAATAACTCTGTTCTCTTTATAATGAGGGCAATCCATTTATACTAAAGACGTGTAAGTGGAATGTGGTAATTTCCCTGCATTAATTTTGGAGGGCATAGCAATAGCCCAGATCTCTCCTCACACCCATGCCTGGGACCACAGCACCAGGAAGGGCCTTTCCTGTTCTACCTGTTATTCAAAGGCATTTGGCAAGCGTGACCTCACTCATCCCACTGTCACTTCCCACGCTGACAGGGCATGTTCAAGTGTGGCTTAGAGCACCTTAGGTCTTACCTGAAGCTTCTTACTCTGAGCATAGTGTTGTGTTATGCCAAAAGCACTTACCTGTGTCAGCAATGCATCTGGACCCCCCTGTTTCCATGTCTAAGAGTGCCTTGGGGATCTCCTTCAGGGATGGACGTTTCAGTCCCTCCTTCAGCTGGCTGAAATGCAGCCTCAGCTCCCTCCTTCCCAGGGGAGTTACACACACAGTCAGTCTGTGGACAGCAGAGAGAGAGCACGGTTCAAATCAGCAGTGACAGCCTTGGGAAAAGAAATATGTCCTCCCATGTTGCTGTGAAATGTTCTCTTTTATATGACTCCACTAATCTGTCACATATTCAACCTCCTCTTTCTCTCAACAGATAAAAAACCTCTTTTTCCCAAGGAGGCTGTTATTGCAGCTGTGGTGGTGGTCACACTCACACTGCTCTTCGGAATTGTAGCTCGAAAAGATAAAATTTTTAAGGTATGGAAAGCTCTAGTTTCTCAGGAAATTTAGTATTGTTTTGCTGCAATGGCCTGGTTTTTTTCTACAGTTTCTATGCTACTTTGTATTGTTGCTTTCCCCTCTTAGAGAAATGCTACAAACTACCTCCTGCTTTAGAGCTGCCAGCAGAGAAATCAAATATTAGATGTTTCAAGGTGGAAGGCATTATGCACTTGCAAGACATTCATAAAAAATATCCCTGTGGCCAGGAAACACAAAAGATAACAGGCTCTTTCTTTATTTTCAGTGCTTCAAAACATCAAGTGAAACAGCTCTGTAAGTATTTGACTTATTCATGCAGCTTCCAAAAAAACCCAAACCCTTCCTTAGGCCTTGGCAGAGCCTGGGCAATGAGAGTGCCCAGCCCTGCTGAGCTCTGGTTCTGGCTGGCCCACAGCTTGTCCCCCAGCAGAGAGGGGTCTGTGGGCACCTGGCAGGACACAGATCCCACCCCAGGCACAGCACAGTCCCTGCCCCTGCCCCAGCCTTCCCAGGGTCCTGGGGACCAGACAGAAGGGTGTATCCTCAGCCCCCCAAAAGCTTTCTGCACCTGAATGCAGCCCAGGGGAATTCAACTCACGTGTTTGTTTTTTTTCCCTAGTAGGTGATTTTTTTCGTTTCTTCTTTTCATTTTGCTGCAGGTAAAGGCCACAAGGTTCCTGTGCACACCCAGAAAACATCATTTCTAGTGGTGGAACTAAGCCCTTGAGTGAGACGATGAGATAAAGCATTGAAACAAGTTGTTTTTTGGGTCAAGTTGCAATGTTTTCAAAGTAGAAGTGGTTCTTTGCATCTGTTCATTCAAAGCAGCTGCTCAGAGCTCCACTGCAGGGGGTAGGCTGCCCGGGCTCTGGTCAGATCCTGTCCTCCATGCTTACTGCTACAAAGTGTGCAGGAGCAGTGAGGTGTGCAGGTGCTGGATCTCTCCACAGAGGAGTCCACACTGAGCTGACACAGGTCGTGATGTTGATGCACACAAATGAAGTGTGGTGTTGAGCTGGTAGCTGCTTTCTTGCCTCTATCCCATGGTGACATTCCACAGGGTGTTAAGGGTGGTGGCCACCCAACTTGCTGCCCCTTTTCCATAATCCTGTGGGTATCTCAGCTTCTGCTGGCCGGGGCAGAAGCTGCTTGGCACTTTGTGCTGCTGTCATACCTCCCGTCTCCCTCAGGCCCTGGGCAGCCCCAAGCACATAATAACACACAGTGGAAATTTCAGTGGGAATGCTCCAGCAATAGGATGGCACGAAAACCTCTCTCCAATCCTCCTCCCAACAAATATGCTACTCAAGCATTTTTCTCAAGGTCCTGGCAAGCTTTTAAGGCCTCATCATGTCTTGGATGGGTACATTACTAATACCATCAATAAGCACCATGTGCTGTAAAACAATTTGAGCCTGTAATGCACAAATGCTGTTCTCAGAGGAGCGGGGCTGTTACTCATCAGGAAGTCTCTGCAGTGTGACCCACAGCGTGTCCTTGCCCAGCGTTCCCCAGTGCTTGGGGAGGGCAATCACCCTGCCACGCCAGTGCCAGCTCCCGCTCCCAGGAGACTGCCCTCCACACCGCCTGCTGCCCAGGCCTGGTTCAAGCCTGAGCAGGAGGTGACGTGGTGGGGGGAGAACCTTGGGAGAGCAGGATGGGGATCCTGCAGCTGGCCCTCCACTGCCTACCGGGCCACACCGGCCCTGAGGGGATGTGAATCATTGACCGGTCTGGGTGGGAAGGGACATTTACAGGTCAACACAGTCCCACCCCCTGCACTGAGCAGGGACTAGAACAACTAGGACAACTGGAGCAGGTTGCTCAGAGCTCCATCCAACCTGGCTTGGAATGCTTCCAGGGATGGGGCACCAACCACCTCTCTGGGCAACCTGGGTCTGCGTCTCACTATCTTCAGTGTAAAAATATTGTTCTATCTAGTCTAAATCTCCCTCTTTTAATTTAAAAACACCTTTTGTCCTGTTGCAACAGGTTCTGCTAA